GAGCCCGATGCGGGACTCGATCCAGGGACTCCAGGATCATGACCTGAGCCGAAGGCAGTCGCTTAACCAACTGAGCCACCCAGGCGCCCCCTCATCCTCTTTTTATAAGGATGCCAGTCCTACTGGGTTAGGGTCCTACCTTTATGACCTCATTTAACCTTAACTACTTTCCTAAGGGTTCTATCTACAAATACAGTCACATTGGAGGTTAGGGCTTCAACCTATGAGTTTTGAGGACCCACAATTCAATCCATAACAACTGGTGAACTTGAATTTAGAAGATTGGAGCTCAGGTACTGACTTTCCCTGAATCCAGTTGAGTGGTTTTAGGCAGTAAGTCCGTTATGCTCTAGGAGCTTCAACTTCTATATCTGTGACATGTGGCCAGTTTTATGGAGTTGTTGAGAGGCTGAAATGAGACCATGGCTGGAGGACATTTATGAACTGTAAGTTCCTGCACAATAATAATGACTTAATTATTCCTTCTACTAACATATCATCTTGCAGTTTACAATGTGATTTCAAATGCATATATCATTCAATACATGTGCAAGGAATCATTACCGTTATTATCACTACAGGCATATACCTAAAAGGAAAGTTCGGTTATAATCCATCCTGCAGAAGGGATTCAAGGCAGCTTCGGAGGAAAACTCTCATGCATGACAGGGCATTCCCTATCACTTCTCACAGAGGCTGCAGAAAAGGCCCAGGAAGCTGTTGATGAAATGAATGACCACCAGGAGAATCTGGAGGAGGCTGATGCACAGAAGGATGGAGAAGAAGGCCACGTGCCAAATGACAGCTTTAGAAGGCTCCAGGCAGACAGAGTTCCAGAGGGAATGGTCATACAAATAATTCCTATCCCAAAAGAAAAAAAAAGGGGAGGGAGACCAGGGGTTGAGGAATAACTAAGAAAAGCCAAGTAAACAACCTCAGTAGAAACCTGGGGCCTCCCCCCAGCCAAGGCCATAGGTCTAGACTCTTGAGGGTGACTGTTGTTGCTGCACCTGCAAAATGCCAAGCATCAAAGAAGGGAGATGCTAGAACGTGTGACCAAGAGGAGTTTGTAGGCCATCTGTGTGTCTTTCTGTCTGTCTTTGTCTCTCTGAGAAGACTGAAAATCCAAGTTTCCGCCCATTTACCTGTTATGCAAGTCTTGGAATGGGTAACCATATTTCCAAGCTTGCGTCTGATTGAAGGATGAGACATCAAACATGCAAAATGGACCATCTTTCAGGGCTACTCCGGAAGTGATAAAGCAAATCAAGGCTCCAAGAAAAGCCAGGCTACTGGAAAGCAGAGAAGTGAGCATCTGTAGAGGGAGGGAAGAAGCCACAAGGTGAGACCGGGTCATGACCAGGTGATGGGGTGATCTGGACAAGCCTAACTTCTCTGGCACTCAGGCTCTTCCCCATCAAATCACATGGGGATAATGCTGCTCCTGGCACCTCCATTAAAGCATAACCAAGGCAGGGTGGCTGATGAGGGGTCAATGGGTAGAGCCAGGAAGGGATGGGAGAGAACGCATGAGAAGGGGGAAGCAGTGGCACTTGGACCTCGGTCTCCCTGACCCAGTAGGCTCTCCCTCCAGAGCTTCTCAACAGGTTGGCATCAAAAACTTTTACACTCAGGGGCCACTGGGTGGCTCAGTCAGTTACTGACTCTTGATGTTGGCTCAGGTCATGATCTCAGCGTTGTGAGATCGAGCCCTGTGTCGGGCTCCACACTAAGCATGGAGTCTGCTTAATATTCTCCCTCTCCTCTGCCCCTCACCACCCGCCCACTCGCGCCTGTGCGTGTGCTCTCTCTCTCTCTCAAATAAATTAATAAATCTTTAAAAAAAAGTTTAAACAGCCTCTGGGTAGAAAGGTTGGATGGTCATCGCATGCCCTTTTCTTTTTTACTATTTTAAAAAATTTTTTAAAGATTTTATTTATTTATTTGACAGAGAGAGACACAGAGAGAGAGGGAACACAAGCAGGGGGAGTGGGAGAGGGAGAAGCAGGCCTCC